GACGGGGTTTCACCATGTTGACCAGGATGGTCTCGATCTCTTGACCTCGTGATCCACCCGCCTCGGCCTCCCAAAGTGCTGGGATTACAGGCTTGAGCCACCGCGCCCGGCCATTTTTTATTTTTTTTAAAAAGACGTAGTTTCGTCCTTGTCGCCCAGGCTGGAGTGTAGTGGCAGGTTCTCAGCTCACTGAAACCTCCGCTTCCCAGGTTCAAGTGACTCTCCAACCTCAGCCTCCTGAGTAGCTGAGATTATAGCTGCATGCCACCATGCCCAGCTAATTTTTGTATTTTTAGTAGAGATGGGGTTCGAACTCCTGACCTCAGGTGATCCACCCACCTCAAAGTGCTGGGATTACAGGCGTGAAACACCAGGCCCGGCCTCCGAAATCATTCTCCACTGTTACTCTAGTCCTGCTTTCTCACATTCTATACCCTCACCGACAATGCCCCTTTCCGCCCGAATTGCCCCCATCCTGACGGCCCATGACCCTGGTGCAGACAGCTGCAGCCGCCGCCTCGGCCCGCTGTAGGCTTGGCGGGCGCCCCGCTCCGGCTGACCGTGACCCCGTCCCCACAGAGAACGGCGAGTGGGCCATCGACTTCTGCCCGGGGGTGATCCACCGCCACGACATTGGTGCCACTGACGGCCCAGGGGAGACTAACGTCATCTACTCACTTATCATCCGACGGAAGCCGCTCTTCTACGTCATTAACATCATCGTGCCCTGCGTGCTCATCTCGGGCCTGGTGCTGCTCGCCTACTTCCTGCCTGCGCAGGGTAAGCAGTGGCCCCGAACCCACACCCAAACCGGGCTAGCTCCCGGAGGTGGGGCCTGCTCTCACCGGTGATCCCTCCAGCCGGCGGCCAGAAATGCACGGTTTCCATCAACGTCCTGCTCGCCCAGACCGTCTTCTTGTTCCTCATTGCCCAGAAAATCCCAGAGACTTCTCTGAGCGTGCCGCTGCTGGGCAGGTGAGGGCTAAGCGGGTCTGGGTGGTGCCCCTAGCAGGGGCGTGGCCAGTCTGACGGGCGGGGCCAAGGGCTGGCTTGGGCGTGGCCAGTCTGAAGGGCGGGGCCAAGGACCGGCTGGGTGGGGCGTGGCAAAACCCTGAGACCCCGGGAGAAGCTCTGGCTGTCTCGCCCCCTCCTGAGCTTTATTTTGACGTGGCATGGGGCCGGGACCGGGATGGATTCTCTGGTCCGCCGTCCTCCGCACTGCTGCTGGACATCACCTGGAGGTCTCCTGAGTATCTCTGTAGGGAGATGGTCCGGCTCAGTACCTTCCCAGCCCCACCGCCTCTGACCCCCAACTCACCCGGCATCCCGAGCTCACCGGTTCTCTGGGGATTCCGAGGCCCAGCTGCTGTTGCCACTGCCGCAGGAATGAGGCAGACCCCTCCAGACCCCGTCCACATAGGCATAGCCATGCTCCCTGGACGAGGAGCCGTGTGCCGGTGCCCACTGCAGCCCCAGCTTTCCGAGCCCCCTGCCCAGCGGCCTGGGCTACTTGGGCCAGCGCTGCACTCGGATCCCCGATGTCTAGGGCTGGGCCCGCGCTGCTGTCGCCGCCTTCTAGTCGCCGTGCCTCCTGCTGCAGCCACAGGGCTGAGATCTGCATTGGGGGCCCAAGGGTTAGGGGGAAGGTAGAGGTCCTTGCTGCAGCTGCCCGATCGCTGTGTATCCTCAGCCCCCCGGACCCCACCTCTAACAAGGTGGCGCCGAAGCTGACGAGGCTGGCCGCGGCTTCTCTTAACACCAGCCCCAGTGTGGGCTTTGGGGCAGGTGACATCTCCTGCACCTTTGGCTCCCGTGGCTCCAGGGACTTCAGCGCTCTGAACCTCTGCTCCAGATACTCATGGGCTGCGGCCACGGAGAGTTCCAGGGAAGACAGAAGCGGGGGCTGGAGGGCCACCTGGAGGAGGAGCAGGGCAGTAGTCACGGGGGCGCGCGGGAGAACTACCCATTGGGTCTCGAGGTGCCGCCCTCGGTGGGCGTAGCCTTACCTCGGTGGAGCTGTGGAAGTGGTAGACCCACATGAGGGTGTCCAGGGAGCTGGGGGTCCCCTTCATGGCCGCCACAGGTGGTAGGAAGGGAGAAGGGCTGGGCGATGCGTCTGTAGTTGCTGAGGGGGCGCAACTGGAGGGCGTAACCACGTGTTTGTGAGGTCAGAGGCGTGTTTGTGAGGTCAGAGGGTGCGCGGCACCTTCCGTAGCTGGGAGGGGGAGCGGTGACCTCACTCATTCCGGTCTCCTCAGGTTCCTTATTTTCGTCATGGTTGTCGCCACACTCATTGTCATGAATTGCGTCATCGTGCTCAACGTGTCCCTGCGGACGCCCACCACCCACAGCATGTCCGTGCGTCTGCGCCACGTAAGCGTGGGGGTGGGGTATGGCCTGGGGTGGGGGCGGGCTTAGCCCTAGCCCTAGCCCTAGCCCTAGCCCTAGCCCTAGCCCTGCCCACCGCGACCCGCCTCCCGCTCCCCGCTCCCCGCTCCCCGCTCCCCCTCAGGTTCTACTGGAGCTGCTGCCGCACCTGCTGGGGTCCCCGCCGCCGCCCTCCGAGGCCCCCCTGGCCGCCTCGCCCCCAAGGCGGGCATCGTCGGTTGGCTTATTGCTCAGGGCGGAGGAGCTGATACTAAAAAAGCCGCGGAGTGAGCTTGTGTTTGAGGGACAGAGGCACCGCCACGGGACCTGGACAGGTGAGCACAGTGGCCTGGCGGGCCGCCTGCCGCAGAGGAGGCTCCTAACGGCCCACCTTGGTGTTTTCCCTGCTAGCTGCCTTCTGCCAGAGCCTGGGCGCTGCCGCCCCTGAGGTCCGCTGCTGTGTGGATACCGTGAACTTTGTGGCTGAGAGCACGAGAGACCAAGAGGCCACCAGTGAGGTGGGACGGGAGCCAGAGGCCGGTGGTGTGAGGCAGATCTCCCGTGCCCCTGGGTCCTGCAGCTCCCTCTTTACTGTGCTGACCCTTCCCCAGGAAGTGTCCGACTGGGTGCGCATGGGGAATGCCCTTGACAACATCTGCTTCTGGGCCGCTCTGGTGCTCTTCAGCGTGGGCTCCAGCCTCATCTTCCTCGGAGCCTACTTCAACCAAGTGCCTGATCTTCCCTTCCCGCCGTGTATCCAGCCTTAATGCACACTGACTTCAACTTCCTAACCAACTCTAGCAGGAAATGGATTTTGAAAAAATCAATTTCAAAATCACCACAGCCTTATGATCCCTCTGCTGGAGCGCATGGGAACCAAACACCCTCAGTGCTGGTGGCCCTCAGGCTCACAGGTTTAGGGGTGAGGCTGCCCTGGCCCTCTGGCAGTCAGTCATTTTTTCTAGGTTTTCTTGGCCCAGCACTGCTCATGCTACCCTGTTGAGCCTCACTAATGGCAGATCTCGGCCCACCTTCTCCCTTTGTTCCCCACCCTGGAGGCTCTCTCTGCCTAGTATCCAGGACGGTGAGAGAAGGCAAAAAATGGGGCCTGAATGGTGGGAGCTGGTTGAATTGTCTTTATTAACAAACAGGATATCCAAGGCCACTACATTGAGGAGGGGTGAGGGGAGGGAGGGAGGAGGGTTACTTGCTGCTCACACTATATACAGATGCAAGCAAGGGGCATAGAGAGTGAGGGCTCCCTGCTCCCTCCCTCCACCAGGGAAGGGCATGGGCTAGAAGAGATGAGGGTTAGGAGGGGGGAACGTTTTGGCTGGCGGGGGTCCCCCCTCCTTTCCTTGGAGTCTGGGGGAGGGGAATCATTAAAGTGCTTTCAGAAAATGAAGAAATGGTCCCTGCCCCTGGAGTGGCTGGTGACCCCCCCAAAAATCTAGGGCCCAGTGACCCCCCCAGGGTCTGGTACATTCAAGGGGGGAGCCGGCTCCCCTGACGTGCAAATAAAGGAGTCTAGGACCCTGCCCAGTCAGCAGCAGTGGGGTAAGGGGTTCAAGCCCCAAGCACTCTCCTCTTAAATGGAGAAAAGGGGGGAGGGGCCAGGCCCACTCAATTCCTGGTAAGGGGTGGCTGTGTCCCTCCCCAGAAGATGGGGACAGGCACAGTTCTGGGAAGAGGACATGTTGGGGAAGGGGATGGTCACGTGATCACAAAGCATCAGGGATCAGAGGTCACGTTCCCAGCAGGCTCCAGTGAATCAAACCAGTAAAAGCAAAAGCCCAGGGAGAGGAAAGAGGAGCGGCCCAGGAAGCCTGGCTGCAGGGAGAGCTGGGTCCAGTGTTGGGCAGCCCCAGCCTAGGGTCCCGTCACCAGTTCATGATGCAGTTACGGTTCAGAGTCATGAAGTAAACTTGGCTGCTGCCCCCAGAGCGGACTGAGGCAAAAAACACCTAGTGGGGGCAGGAGGAGAAGTCACTAAGTGTTAGGGGTCTCAACTGGGAGAGGGGAAGAAAGTGGGGGCAGAAGACATAAGAGGGAGAGAGGCTTCGGATAAGAGTGCCCTCTCGTGGAGGAACGGGCCAGATGTTATGGGACAGGATGCAATACCCACCCCCTGGGTGGCAGCTGTAAAGTCCTCGGGAGCTGCAGAGAGCGTGGGGCTGTGGGAGGGAGTGATTGCTCTCCTCCAAGCTCCCAGAGAGGTCTGCTTACAGGAAGATACCACCACCATCCTCTCCCCCAGAACTCTGCTCAGGGGCCGAAGGGCTTTCAGAGGGAAAGGGCCTCTCACCTTGTCATTCCGTTCACACAGGAACTTGAGCCTCTGGGCTCGTTTGTGCATGAAGACCCCGTCCAGGTGGCCTGTCTCCACAGAGCGGATCTCAATGGCTTTCTCACCCCAGCCCATTATCTGGTTGGAGCAGATGTAGGCTGTGGGGAACACATGTGAGGGGTTGAGCAGGGACCACTCCAGGGGCATGTGGCTCGGGGGCAGGGCTCACTCACCCACAGAGGTGGGCATCTCTCCCCACTGCAGCACCACATCCTTGATGATCCGCCCGTACGTGTTGACGTAGACACCCTCGTCCTCATAGCACAGCAGCATCTCCATGCCGTCGGTGTTGGGGAGGAAGATGATGGCATGGGGTGTGATCTGGCTCTGGATCTGGGGAGGAGGAGGCAGGCTGGAGTCTCACGGCTGGCGTCCAGACTGGGCCATCCCATTCCCTAGCAGCACCGCCAAGCTCACATGCACAGGGATGTAGATGTCATAGCTGTTCCCCGAGTCGACATCCACGGCATGGAAGCCAGCACTGGAGCCGTAGATGACCTTGAGCCGCTGCCCCTCCTCCACTGTCAGGTCGACCAGCAGAGGGCGGTGAGGGAGGTCGGCAAAGGACTGCGGGCAATCGGAGGAGAGGAGGGCTCAGGGGCAGAGGGAGAGGCACTGGGACTAGGGATGGGGTTGGGGGCTGAGGCTGGGATTACCTTGAAGGCCATGAATTTGTGGTAGGGTTTAGGGGCCCAGGCATACACCTCCACGGAGCTCTTGAGGGCAATGACTAGGAACTTAATCCGCTCATATTTCACTGGGGGCAGAAGAAAAAGAGTTGCTGAGACTTCCCTTCTTGGGCCTGGGGCCCCTCCCTGTGTCTGTCACTAGACTGTCCCACCCAGGCCCCAAGTCCCTGGCTGCCAGGTTTTGATCCAGGCCCATTTCTCTATCTTCATGACGTGTTTGCTGGCCACTCTGTTGTGGCATCCTCACCAACACGGTAGTGGCCACAGCCCTCCATGTCCCCCACAGTGGTCCAGCCCTGCTTCTTCTCCACTTCTGGGTCGTTGTGTAGAATCTTGTTCCGGAGCCAGGACAGGTAATACACCCGCAGTTTGTTCCTTTTCCCTGAGAGACGGACGGACATACACACATCCCCATTCTCAGCCGAGGACCAGCTGCCACTGCCCTGCCCTCCTCTGTCTGCATACCACAAGGGGTGAGAAAGTGTGGCCCCACCTTCCAGCACCTGGACCAAGGCTGCCCTCCTCCCAGGCAGAAGGAGGTGACAGCGCCAAGGAGCTGAGCCCCTCCTCCCTCCCCCACTGGCCAGCCCTGTACCTGAGATGGTGATGAGCAGGTTGAGCCCCTCCAGCACATCCATTTGCTGGAAGCGTCGCCGCCCAATGAGTCCGTACACCTTGCCCTGTCCACTTCGGTCCAGCAACATCAGCCCATTCTCCGTGCCCACCAGCAGGTTGACCCCTGCGATAGGAGCCCTTGGCAGGTCAGAGGCTCAGCCAGGCCCTCATCTAACCAGGAGCATGGAAACCACGCCAGACCCCTCTTAGCTACCCTTGGCCTGGCTTACCCCAAAGGGCTGCACAGAGAATCTCAGAGTTGAATCGCTTCTTGTACTTCCGGATCTCAGGGGTTTCACTGTGGGCCCGGGTGTTGGTGGGATTCACGTTGACCACAGAACCCTTCCTCACGTCGTACTGCAGCTGGTCAAGCCGAGTGCCCTCTCCACCCACTAGGGCTGCCAGAAGGAGGAGGCGGAAGAAGCTGCAGCTTCTCATCCCAGCTCTTTTTCCCTCCATCCCCTCTATCAGGTCTTGGCATCTCATCATATGCAGAAAGGAGAGACATGGGAGGATGGGGAGGGGCATAGGAGGGGGGATAGGGCACGGGTCTTGCAGTCAGAAGCCCTGTCTCAGGTCCCAGTTCTATCCCTCATTAGCTTTGAGCCTTTGCCCAGGTCCCTTGGCTATTCTAGGCATTTCCTCTCCTGTGGAGGGGTCACAAAAGCCTTTCCTTGCCTCTGTGCCTGGGCAGGAGTTAGGGCTCAAGGGAGAGGTCCTGTGCCTATGCTTTATAAGGCTGCGTCTCAAGACCACCTCTGCTCCCCGCAGGTTGCCCCTGGACCCCATCCTTACCTGTGACGGGGATGGTGTCCCCACTGCCTCCAGGCTGGTAGATCCCAAGATCCACAAACATTGTGAAGGAGCTCTTGCCAGGGGCCTTTACCAGCCCACGAGACTGGTACTGTCGTGGGGGGGGGGCAGCAGTCAGGCAAACAAGTGCAAGTCCAGCTTTGGCCTTGCCCCTGCTGCTGTTACCAGGCCCCAGCTCCCCAACTGGCACCCCCACTGGTCAGTTCCCAGTGCTCCACCCCATCCTCCCCTGAGACCCAGATCTCCTACCCACCACCAGGGGTCTTCTCTCCGACGGACCTGCCACCTGCCCACTTACGTCACTGCTCCCATCCTTCGAGGGGGGGCTTTGGCCTTTGCTGTTCTCGGTTGGGGAGTGGCTGGGCTGGACCACATCAGGCAGGTTTGTGTACCCGTTGCTGTCAGCATGCAGCAGGCTCCGCTCCTCTTCAGGGGTCTATGGGACAGAGAGCAGGGTCGGCACGGGGCTGAGGATGACACACAGGTACAGGGCAGGGGAGTGGAGGCTCACTCACACGCTGGACCACCATGGTGCCGCCCCCGTATGGGGGCTGGGTCCCGGTGATCTCCTCGACATCGTGGACCACCATGGTGCTGATGCTGTCTGTATCCCCATCGCTGCTGTGAAAAAAGAAGGTGGGGCTCCTCTAGGTCCTGCCCACCATGGAAGTACCAAAGGCAGCAGATGGCAGCCAGAGCCCAGGCTTTTTCTCTGTTCAAAACAGCCTGCTCCACTGTGAGGTGCTTCCGTGCAGGGCACGCAGGGCAGGCTAGCACAGGACAGATAGGCACCTGAAGAGGCCACCCCATAACACACATGACAGTGGAAGAGAGAAGGAACATGCACCCTCAGCTCACTCTCTAGAGAAGGGAGCCACTCTCCCTCAGACGGGCCTCAAAGCCCTACCTCTTCCCCCACTACTTCCTGCCCTCCATGTGACTTGGAGCAGGAGGGCCCCACCCTTGATGCCGTACCGGCCCCCAGGGGTGTCTCTGCTCCCCTCTGATGGCTCGCCTTCGCCCTCCTCCTCATCCTCCTCGCTGCTCTCCACCTCCTCGCTGGATGATGAGTAGTCCATGGCTTTCTTGGGAGGCCGAGGGGCCTCGTCCAGGGTCCGTTCTTTCAGCAACACGAAGTCCTGCAGGAAGGAGCCACGTGAGGGGCAGGGAGGTGGTGGGCCTGGGTGGAGGTAGACAAAGGGTGCTAGGAGGCCCTTGCAGGGCCATAGGAGGGGCTCCCACAAGCAGGCCCATCTCACTAACCTCACCAATCGCTCGCTTATAGCTCTGAGAGGGGCCACAAGGGAAGAAGGGCAGCCAGGAGAAAGGTTAGGAGAGAGGTTAGAAAATGTTAGTACCGTGAGAAGCATCAGGCCCTCCATCCCCACAGCCCTTCTCAGTAGGTCAGTGGAGACCCCACCCCTGATGCCATCCTGCTGCTAAGCCCCAAAGCGGGATGAGGCAGGCCATGCCTGCACCAGGTGACTCACTGCGGGCCGGCCTGGCCGAGAGCGGTGGTCATCAGGCTTGGCTTTATTCCCAGGGGAGAGCACTGGGGAGCTGTCCAGTTTGGAGGAGACTGGACACAGCAGGATGGAAGAAGAAAGGTCATGAATACCTGGACAAGGGATGGCCTCAAGCCCACACCTGGGCTGACCCCTCGGCCCTGAGCCCCAGAACTCAGCCCCAAGTTCCATACCCACCCAGGTCCTCCCTGTCCCTGTGGGTGTCCCAGTCCAAAGCCACTGCAGGCAGGGTCCATCCTGATAAGACTCCAGGCCCAGAGCAGGCTGCCTGGGCCTGGCTAACGTACCTCCCACACGGTTCCGCTCCAGTGAGCCAGCCTGGGGGAGGTGCCCGTGAGAGGCTGGGAGAACGCTGTCTGAGCGTTCCCAGCCAGGGTCGCTCCTCCTGAGGTCAGGGTTACTGTTGGGGGAGCAGAGTCAGGGTCAGGGAGGCAGGGTGCTCCCCTCTTTGGG